AATTCTTCAAAATGCTGTTGTTGACATTTGCTATTTTTAGTAATTTTGTCAACGAGTGTAAGCCAATCAGAAGCCTGCGTTTCTATACGAACGCCACTACCAAGAAAACCTAATCACAGCACAGGAAAAATTCAATTTCCCCAGAGCAATGCCATCCTAGCCCGCGCACAGGCATTGCTCTAGGTACGAGATTGTGCAGGCCCTCTATTCTTCGCGCCGCCCGCAACCCAGAGCCTGTTCGCAGGCTATATTTTATATTGTAAAATAGCCTTTTAAAAACACGGGCGCTGATTGGTCAACAGCTCGAAAAACCCGTGTTTCTATAACTCGATAGAAACACGGGGAATTTTCACGCGGATTGCGTGGATTGCGCGGGAGTTTAAAAGACAAAATACAACGAATATTTAATTTTGAAAAAAGTTGAAAAACGTCCCGAAACGCCGAAGAACCGTTACAAAAAAGGCAGCACTTTGCTAACCTAGAAAGCGAAGACCTAAAGCACAAAGTATAATTATAGCACACATTGTATCTGTTTGACTGTTTACCAAGGTAAGATAGTTTAATTTTACTTTGTCTTTTTAAAAAAATATTTACTCGCGACGTTTTTAATCATGTTTATACTATAATTTTTAATCATGTTTAAACGTTCACTAACAATTTAAAACAGTTCTTTCTTTGCATGCAAGCATGTACTACTTTGTTGAGTGAATTATATACTTTGTAAAGTAAGCCTGTTAAGTGCTGTCTGTTGTTTTGACAGCGATGTACTTGTTTACTTCGCAATATAACTTCGCTATGCTTTTATAATTATTCTTTACACGAACGTATATTAAGGTGAAATTGATATTTGAATGAATGCAATTAAAATCAATAAATTTATCTTTTCTATTGATTTTAAAAGGCTATTTAATAAAGGAAATAGAAAACATTTTTTCCGTGTTTCTATAGAGTTTATAGAAACACCACGCAATTTCTCGTTTCTCCCAAACTTTCACGCGTGTTTCTCTAACTCTATAGAAACACGGAAAATGTTTTCTTTTTTCTTAAATATTTTCTCTGTTTAAACCTGGAAAATTTTGTTATACTATTATTGCCGTAAATTTTCTGAATGGCCAACCCGACTTTCCGAATATGTTAATTCTACAAAAGTTGGGGATTTAATCCCCCCCCCCCCAATACCCCCCTTAGCTATGGCCCTGATGACGTAATAAATATTCTGGACATTTTGTGGCCAAGATATCATTATGTTCAACTTATATAAATTAAGGGTTCTCTTAAAGATTTCCCCATGCATAATCTTGACCATCAATTCTTTTTTCTTCAAATATGCATGACTTTGAGAGATGATCTCCTTAAAGGCTTAGTGTCACCTGTTGTTGGAGACGTTATTTATTTGCTAAAATATGCTGCTGAGCATGCTCACATGGTCCGGTCTGAAAAAGTTCTTGCATAAAATAAAATGAAATCAGTAAATTTTAGCAATTAAATTAAATAACATCCCTTAATAACATCCCTATACAGTTTATTAGAAAATGGAAGATCTCCGATTTCGAAGAAATTTTACACCAATTCCTATATGTTAAAAGACTACAGGGTGAATAAAAAATAAACGGAGTCGTCCTAAATATCCTTATTTCTATCGTAAAATAAACTACCATAGTTTCGTTTTGTGCTCAATTTAAAGCTTGTTTTTTCATCTTTCGAATGAAGGGTTTCTTGAAAATTTTGAACTAAGGTTAATCGCAATAAAAAGAATTTAGTACAAGCGCTCGTTTTTAGATGCTTTGAAATATTAATCTTCGAAGTCCCTTGGGGACTTAATTAAAGGTAGTTTGCTAAAATTCAGAACGTTGTTGTTTAAAACTTTACAATCGCCATTCATAATGCCAAAGCAAACAATTCCGGAAAGAACATTCATTGTTGAAAAGTATTTCGAAACAAAAAGCGTTGTTGCAATGTTAATAAGACAATTTCAAATAGCTTTTCCAGGACGTAATCTTCATCGAGCGTTTGGCGTAATGTCAACAAATACCGGCTACATGCATTGAATGGAAGAACCACCCCATAAAGTTTAAATCGAAATAAAGGAAACTCGGGAAGAAGAAGAGTTGTCTTGGATATGAGACAAAGAACGAACTTGTGTGAACTTAGAAATGGAGGCCACGTTGAGTAAATGTGTACTTCCAA